GGGGTGATGTAAGCGGGAGGGTTAAGCAACCGAATACGAACTATACTTCGAATCAAACTCATGAAACTGAAATTTATTTAATTTTTATTTTATTAATTGGAATCTAGCATATAAATTCAATTTCTAATGATTTTACTTCTAATATAATTAAAATATATCAGGAAAATATGTTCATATGTTTGGTTTATGAATATTACATTATGCGTATTTACACAAATGTGATAATCACACACATTCTAAATACACGTACAGCTGGCTGACTTCTGCGCCGCACAAGCAATGACTTTTGTCCCACTTATTGTTTTGAGAGTGAACGAGCAGGCAGGGATTGGCGCACTGCTATTAATTTCAATTTTTTATAATCGATTTATTAAAACGATTATAAGTATGAATATATGTGTTATATTTTACGTATATTAATATTATAATTCGAAAATAAGTAATTATGCATCAGTATTTTAATCAAATTAAGCAGCATATTAATATACTATGAGCCTCAGTTGAAAGCCTTTGTGTGGTAAGGCCAACGAAATACGGAGTTGCGCGACATTGTGTTGTTGAAAAAACAAATGACGATTTGTCGACAAACATACATATATACATATGAGCTCGCATCATATGACGCCGAATTTGCGCATCGTGGAGTTGATAAAATTGTTTTAATCGACAATTACGACATGTCGATCGGCTATGTGCTCGTTGTCTTTTTTGCGGGCTTTGCTGTTGAAATTGACTTATGCTCTTGAAATATTGCGATTACCGATTGGGCTGCATTTCATAGCGTCGTATTGAATAAAATTGGCTAAATCGACAAACTATAAAAAATGAGAATAATAAATATAAAAGTACATATGGACTGTGCTTAGAATATATGAAGAGTTAATGATTCTATATGAATGGCAATTAAATATAATTTAATTTAATGCCATAAATAGTGCTAATACAAAATATAAATATTATTTAAACCGTAAGAGGTCATGTTGCCAATTCTCCTTTTGAAGTGAACATCAGACAAATTCTTCAATTTCTGATTTTAGCAAATGTTGTGAGGAAGCAGTTGATGGCAACATACAAAAGCGAGGGGATGGTAGGATTTCAGTGATACAAATTGTAAAATTGAAATTTTGCTGATTCTTCAATTTTATGAAGACATTCAATATCATAATTCATTCATTTTTATTTCGGCATTTGCGGTAGGAATTCTATATGAAAAAATGTGGTTTCCAGGCGCACAGAAAAAATGCGCGGCGCAGAGTTATGAACGAGCGCACTTTGCTTTGAAGCGACGCACGTTCCTTATGAATGAATTTGTATCGTGTAATATAAAATACTTAGAAAAATGCCGCGAGTTCGTTGAATATTATTGGCCGATGATGTGCGTTACGTTTTTGTCACTTGCGCGAGTGTTTAATTTTTGCGAAAGACTATTGAGGGACATACATATGTACATATGTGTACATATATGCAAATATTTGTGACATGCGAATGAAGGAAGGCATTCAAGAATATCACATATAGACATATGAACATTGAAGCAAAACAACAATATCTGTGCATTACAGATTAGACATAATTACTCGAATATCGTCTGCGGTGCTGCTTGTATAGCAACTTCTTTATGGCAATGTAAATTTTACCTAAGTTCATATCCTATACATAATTTTATATACTCTTTTATTTTTATAACTCTTTTAAAAAGATATTTAGTTCTATTTTCATAATCTTTCCCTATTACTTATATTTCTTTTCATAAGTCAATTATTTTCCTTTAATATTTAAGTTTGTAATGCGCATATCAAAGAACATCTGTGCATATGTGATGCGGTATTACATTTTGCTTAAGAGTGGTGTAGTTGTTTCGTACTGATAGTTGTGGTGATTATTTTCAATGCGTGTTTTCGATGTTCCTCCATCGTAATTAACATTTTAGTACTGCTAACATTGCTCTCTCTATATATACGTTCTGGTTATATGAGTTTTAATATGAGAACAACGAGATGTAATAAAATAAAAAAATAATAAAAGTATCTGACTCTTGCGAGAAACAACCAAGTTATTTTCGTGTACTTATTTATATAATAAGTTGTTTCAGTCAAAAAGTTTAGTGAGCGCCGACACATAGAAAACTTAGTGAAAAATAGCATAAAATTTATTCATGAAACTTAAAAGGGCAGTGATCGTTTCAAAAGAAAAATGGTTTTTGGGATTTTCTTCAGGGAAACTACTGAATTAAATGTTTTAAAATTTTGAATATGTTCATATTTATGATGGACTTTGTAAAAAAATTTAATTTTTCTGTCAAAAAAAAGATGATTTTTAGCAATTATACATTTTTTAATCGAAAAAATGGAGGGAGTACTGTGAAACATGCACAAAAAGTAAAAAAAACATCAAAAGCAATTGAATGATTTTCTTTCGAGTTAAACTGCAGCAATTTTAAAATGAAGATTGTGAAAACGCGTTCAAAAAATTGAGAGCTGATTGAACTGCGCTGCTACACTTGAAGACGTGACTAAAACTATTTGAGATATCGATTTAAAATTTCTGTATGTTGTTTTTAAAGTTATAGATTAATGTGTATCCCTTAAAGCGCGAATAAATTTTTGTTGTTTTATGAACGTTCAAAAAGTTATACAAAATATCTATAAAATATATAAAATTTGAAAGGTTTTGTTCGGCACTTCGACCAAAATGTTAAGGCTTCGGACTCCGTCGTACATATGTATTTTCTTCAAAGCGAACGCCATCGACGCGAACTAACTAAGTAAACGTGGGAGTAAAGTAGGAATTGAAGCTCATACGCATTTCACTAAAGGCTTATCGTCAGCGATTTCTAATGTTTTTTTGACAACTCAGACGACGATTAATGGGGAAAGAGTTGTTGAAAGTGTTATTTGCCTTTTTCTAAATGACGTTGTTGGTAAGACAAAAAAATCGTAGTAGATATTTATTGGTGAAAAGTTCGACATCGTTTACAAATGGTAAATATAATTCAATAAAAAATGCACATTTTTTCGAAAAAGTCAGAAACATAATATTTTTATTACTCTACTAGATCATACTAAATTATTCCAGGTTTGTTAGGTGGAAATATCAGAGAATGTTAATAAATATTTATTAAAATCAAATTATTAAAATAAATATTTATTAACATTCTCTGCATTAACATTCCCTTATTTGGGTCTTTGCTTTTTCTTTCGTGTGCCATCTAGCGGGAAAGTTTCGTGTTGTCTAAATGAAATGAGTTGTTGTTAACTCACATGTAGGTGTCGCTATTCATTGAAAACACTATTGGCTAAAATGTGAAGAAGTAAACAAATATTAAAATTTAAGCACGGATTGGGATAGATGTTAGAAAATTACTTTTTCAAGGGGCAAGGGTTTTTAAAACTTTACAAATTAACAATTTTTTTCTTAAATGAAATTTGGCATAAAAAGCATATTTACCTCAACTTATCAAAGGTTGAAAATTCCAAAAATCAAAGAGTCGTCTATATCAACCGAGAAACAGTTAAGCAATGAGTATTTGATGGGAGGGAATACCCACAAAATTAAATAACTGACAAGTTGATTTCCTGTCAACCCAATAAAAGCTTCCAGGTTTTGTGTGCAAAAGTAGAGTGACCCCAAAACTTGAAGAGTGCAAAAGTAAATTTGGTTAAACGAATAAATAATTACAAAATTATAGAAAGAAAATTTATAATGCGCTTGCATACCTTATATGTACCCATTATGTTGTAATTATGAGAGCAGATATTTATTTTTCTGTAGTCAGTAGGTAGGTCGACGAACAGCAGCGCCTGGCAGCCACACTTCAACCATCATTTTTTCCAAGTTTATTTGGAGTTAAATTTAGGTGGAGAAGATTATAGTGAAACAAGAATTATACTCACGGAAGGGTTAAGGAAGGACGGCGGTTTCTGATAATGACGAAAATATTTGGCTGTATTAGATCAAAAATCAGCACCTACAAGAGACATCCTCAAGAGTTCTGCCCTGACGTACAACTATAATTGTGGTTCAAGATACTTGTCCGGTGCTGGTACTAAGTATGTACATAGAAACCTTTCAGTAATAGTAATAGCTGCGGATGACAAATCTTCTATATCTAATCGACTGTTCAAGACTTTTTTTCTCGTTAGCTTTTTAGAACAATATTCTATTTGTAATCTATGATATGAGTAGTTCAAAAATTAATTGATTGTATAATACTTATAAGGCCTAGGGAAATAAAGACGAGGCCCTACTTAAACGACCTCTGATTCGGCAATTACTGAAACGTATTCGAAGGATTGTAGTATAATGGATTCTTATGTATGCTTTACAAGTGTTTAAATAAGCGTAAGCAAACAATTTTATGCATTATGGCGGCTTCCTAAAAAAAAACGTTCAGAGTGACTAAAAAATCGGAATTAGTATTTTAAATCGTATTCCCTTGATCATTACCTGTCTTAGTTCTTACAAATACGCTCATATCTTTGAAACTGTCTGCCGAATCAAACTAAAAGTTTCAGAGAACATTTTCATATATATGCTAGTTCAATATACCATATTTGCAAAAAATCGTATTTTTTTTCTTATTTCACAAGTGAATATAACTCCTTTATAAAAATTAGTTAATATTATAATTGGAAATAATCGATCCATACGACCCATATTCTTCATATGTGAAAAATACATATTTTAAAAAGCCTGATTGTCTTTAAAATATGTATTTTAGATACTAAGTAAGATTTTTTTATTGAACCTGGATAGTCATATTACCAATAGCACCGCTTCTTTAATGTCAAACTTTAGCAGACTCGATTGGCAGTATTGCTTGATAATCAATACTGTTTTGGTATCACTCTCCTCATATATGTATATTCTGACGTACATCACATATTTTGTATTTCTTATATTTTCAAAATTTGGCCGAGTGTTGCGTATGTTGCGTATATATTTATTTTATAATGTTACTATTTTAAAATAATTTTTAATTTTATTATATAATATTTCAATTTAAAATTTCACAGTTATCGTTAGAACTTTCATATAGTTCTAATTAGATTTTACACTCAAGAGAATTAAGCAAATACATAACAGCAGCTTTTTCAGCTCTTCACTCAATTGCCCGCTCCGTTATGATTTTCTGCACTCGCTTTAATTATTCAATAGTACGTATATATATAATGAAAAGTTACGAGTGATTGTATCTACCTATTTAGTAAATACATTCGATTAGTTGGCCAAACTCTCTGCCATTCCTCCATTACATGTTGCTTCTGAGCTTTAGTATTTTTAAATTTTATTGCTCTCCTCGCTCAAATTCGAAAATGAGCGCTTGAGCTACGCTCCTTATATTCTAATTTATTGTTTTGCGGTTTTTTTTTCGAAATTTCGCCTTTTTTGCTTTGAGTAAAAATTTAAATGTGAGTAAAGTTAACACAAAAGTCAAATTCAACGACGAAAAGCGTGAAAATACATAGTCACAGCAATTTCGAGCAACAGTGTCTCATAACTATTCTACAAAGTCGTATATTCATTTCACAGTGAACAAACACGAATTAAAGAACTTGCGTTGTTATCTGTTTCAAATTCAAACTACCATCTCTGGGTATTATAGTTCTATGTTTTCTTACAGCCGAGGCGGGGCATTTTCGGCGACTAGCGAAAATGTGCATTGTTCTAGCTTAAGCTCAAGATGTGATGCAACCATTTGAGATGCGATTAAAGAATATGAATCGAAGGTAGAAGAAAGCGCATAGGAAGAGTAGCAAAAAGCTTGTAAAAAAAATATATACAAAAACAACAAAAACAACCACGGATGCCAATAGCGTTCACAAACAATAGAAAAATGGAATAATAACAAAAACAGCAAAAACAACAAAGTCAGCTTGTGATTTTCTGCATACTTCTTTCTTCGCACCTGCACTGCCGGCTCTCGTGGTCGTCATTTTGCCGCTACGTTCGCTTCTGGCGCTGTTTTTGCTGCTCATCTTCCTCTCCACCATCTTCTTCATGCTAGCGCCTCTCTGCCACCGCTCGCCTCACTTCCCCCAGTGCTGAATTTTCAATTTTACTGTTTGTCTGTTTCCACGCCTTCGTTTGCTTTCATCAACGCACCTCGGCTTGCGCCCGATTGGAGTTCCTATCTTAAGTCTTTGGTTAGCCAAAGTTCAGTTTCTTCGTGTACGTCGGCAGTGTTGGTTGTGTCTAACGGTTGGACTCAAGACTCATTTGAACTTAGAGCATAAACAAAACTACTACTACAAATATAAATACAAATTATAACTGTTGCCAATAAGAATGAAGTGAAATCAAAAAACAACAATTCAACGTTTCTTTACGCGAGCGCGTGTGTGTTTGTGGAAATTGTGTAGAAATTTTTATTTCAAATCGAAAAAATAGTTAAAAACAGTGTGCATAACACTTCTATTCATAATAACTAAAAAAAATCATTCGATTTTGCATATGTATATGTATTGACACACACAATTCTGAAGCAAAAACAAAACGCAGTATTCATCGAATTTCCTTTCCAACGAGTGTACGAAGTAAGTGTGCAAAAACGGTTTAACTGTGTGCATGTGTATTGGTTATTGCTGCTGTGAAAGTGCAAATAAAAGTTGTTAAACTTGAAAGCAAATAATTAAATGCGTTGAAAGCTCTTCTATAATGATTCTAAGTGAAATTTTGTTGCCCTAAAAAATGAAGAAAAATTTGCATGCAACAGTGTTAGTGTGGAGAATGAAGCAAAACCAAAATTAAAACATAAAAACTTATAACTTTCCAAAAAAGGTAAACAATTACGTGGTTTTTGTTAATTTTTTTTTTAGTTTTGATTGTTAAAAAATTTAACAAATAAAAAACAAGTATTTTGTACGTAAAAATATTAAAAAATAATAAAATTGATAATAATAAAAATAAAACTTATACATATATAAAATTTAAATACACTAAATCACTAAAATTAATTGAAACATATACTAATTATATAATATATACGCACTGGATATATTCTTACAATGGCAGTATGTTAAAACTAGCAAATGTTCAATAAAAATGTTTTGAAAATTTTCGAAATAATATTACAAAAAATTATAGAATTTCAATTTAAAAATAAAAGAACTCAAAATTTCTAAATTTTCAAAATAATATTAAAAAAAATATTTAAAAAATTTCATAGAAATATTTTTAAAGAATATTTAAATAAATATCAAAATAATATTAAAATAAATATTTAAAATTATCACAATAATATGGAAAAAAATATCTTAAAAAATTTCAAAATATGTAATATGAAAAAAGTTATTAAATAAAAGTTAAAAAATTTTCTAAATAATATTTATAGATATATAAAAACAATTCATAATAATATTAAAAACAAAACATAATTTACAAAAGTTCACAATAGTGTTAAAAAAAAAATTTAATAAATTTAAAAATAATATTTAAAAAAAAATTTTATATAAAAAAAATAAAATTTTTTAAAATATCAAAATATTTAAAGAATTTTCAAAATAATATTTTGAAAAATGTCAATATATTATTTAGGAGATTTTATTAATTTTGTATAATATTATATTTTCTAATAAATACATTTTAAAAATAAATTGTATTCTAAATTGAAAGAACAATCAAAATATGTACGCAAAAATGAATTATATAAATCTAAAATTAACAACATTTTAATACATTCAACTGAATACTTTACCTTAAATACACTGTCATTTTAAGCAAAGAGAAAATGTAAATATTAAAAATAAATAATGTTGCTTTAGTTTAATTTTTTTCTATAAAGTATTTTTTTTCGTTTTAAAATTTGTTTATCAATCTTAAAACCAAATTTGAAAGTATTAAAAATAATTGTATGCATTTTTTATTCAGCCAGGCAGAAAAAAATATTTATGTAGCTAAATCAAAATACCAATTTATATGATTTTTAAAATTTCTTTTTAATAGCTTTTATCACTTCAAATGAATTGCATTTTCCAAAACCTCAAAAATCACCAATAATCATCAAAATCTAACATATTGAAACCGTTTATTTTACTTTTTATTCTCAGTTGATCTCGAAAAGCGCGTTTTCCACCAAACAGTTTTGATCGTAAAAGTTTAAGCCAATTTAACGCTTGGCATAACAATTTTGATTTACACGCGTATATGTACATATGTATGTATGCGTATATGGGTGTAAAACTATCAAAAATGCTGGCCTTAACATTTTATCTGTTGTTGTTATTGCTATTGTTCGAAACTTTTTTCACATTATTGTTATTATTTTTTGCATATTTTCATTTTGTGTTTTGTTTTTGCGTTTACCATTTGCTTGGCTTGACAAAACAGCGAACTGGCGTGCTAGAAACGAAATAAAGCAAGCTACAAAAAAACCACAATAACACAATGTACATTATTTTCAACATTATACAATATTATTACAATTATATATATGCACATACTGACATACAGATATATAATATGCAAAAACAAAAAGTAAAAGCAAAAAGTGTTGCCGTCATCACCCGGTAATTTAAAACTAGAGATAATAAAAAAGCAGCCACCGCAAAGAATAGAACGCCAAAGAAAAATTGTTATGTTAGCCAAACAACAACAACAACTACATGAACGCATTAAAGTTGGCAATAAAGTTCGATTTGGTATTTTGTTGTTGATGCGCGAATAGCTTTGAGAAGAAGATCTGACTGTGGAATGCTGTCTATAATTATATTTATAACCATATAGACATCTATTTCTACACAACATTAACCCATAAATTAATATATATGAAAAAGAGGAAAAATTATAAAAAAAAGTACCATATGACAATACATTTTATATATCTTTATTCAAAAATATTCTTTCATTTCATTTAAATGGATGTAGCAATAATTGTTAAGTTGCTTCTGCTGTTTCCTCGGACGTCAATAAACGTTATTCAAGAAATGTATGCAGAGTTGAAAGATAATTTGCCTAGCATACGAATAACTCATGGATGAATAGACTTGTCTTTTCACTGCTGATGTCATGTTTCGATTAAGAATCATTAGATTCAAGAAAATTCATAAGTTTTGTGCAAAAACTAATGTTTTTCATTGAATAATATTAGATGGTAAAAATTTTATAAGTAACTATTTTTTTTTTGTTGAAAATTTCTGAAATATTATTAAATATTGACAGTAAATTTTAGTACTTAAAAAACTTTCATACTTTGTATCAAGAGAATGAGGAAAGACTGTGCAAAAGTTTGTCTTAATACTTACCATAAGCTCGTGTGTCAGGTTTTGTGTTTACGAAAAACTCAAGTCCGTATTTTATTCTGAGCTTAGTTTGATTTTTTTTTACAAAGCAACGCTCCATTAAACATAATTCTTAAAGCGAGTAAATTTTTGTTATTATGAACTTCTTTGTGGGTTTAATACTAAACACCAAAATGGGCAATAAACTCGAGTTTGTGCAGTTTCTTTAAGAAAGTTAACGTTTTCTTTAAAAATATTAATGTAATAACTCTCTGAGTTAACTATTGAAAAAATTCACAAGGAAGTTGTATATGCAGTTTAGCTTTCTTGTTATTAACTTAAGTTTATTTAAATAAATACAATTTTTGTTTTTTTTTTAAAGTTTAAGGATATTGATCTGTCAAATTTTTCTGCAATTTTTAAGACTAGTAAAAGTAAATCCTTTGTAGTGTTTAATACTAACACCAAAATTGCCAATAAATTTGAGTTTGAGGCGCAATATGAGAAATCAGAATGACTCCTTCGCTATTTTATAAATGAAGTTGGAATCATCAACAAATCAGAGATAAAAAGGTAGTTAATGCCCGCATCCATACAGTATGAGTATTCATTAATTTCGAATTACTCTCTCTGCGAACATATTTTCGGAGTTAAACCCATCCAACAACAGATTTAAGGAGTTTGACTTGAAATTATGTTTTTAGTATTATATTACATTTTACTTAAACATAAATAGTATTTTAAAAAATTCACTAAAATGGAGTATATTTAGAAATTAAGCGAATGTTTGACTAAATATTTTTCTAAAAAATAAAAATATAACCTCGAACTCATTCGAAGGTTTATATACAATATCATGATCCAGTTTAGTTCAAATATGCATCGTTTTGTTTGATAACTCCTTGTCATTCATAATGCCACTCGCATAGAAAATCTCGTTCGTATTGGCAAAAAACGATGTGTGTGGCCTGGCGTTGTCCCTGACGGAATACAATTCCTCTCATTTTGGTTTGGGATTTTCCTCTCTCAGAGAGTACAATTGTTGAGAGCACAATTTTGCCGTAGCTCATAGTATATAGTTGCTACCCTACCAGTCCCACCATACCCTTGGTCAAACCTTTCTAATCGTCAATCCTAGCTTGGCCACTATTTGTGTCGGCACACCGCGATTGGACCACGACCGTTCTCGCTTGATGAACCACTTATTAATGCCAGCAATCATTCGCATCAGAAATGGATCGATTTTGTTGCGATATTTAGCCATACTTCGAGCTTTTTTTGTATTGGTTTGAGCCTGGCTAATAGAAACAGTGTTTTCATGACGGTCGGACTCAAGGATTTCTATTATTTAATTGATATTTTCGACAAATGGCCTTCCAGAGCATGGTGAATCTTTGACATTAAAATTACCGGAAAATTGCGCTTGATTGACTTCTACAGTATCAGGATCCTTATCTTTAATACCATTCACAAAATACAAATTAATAAAGCCACCTTTTGGAAGAATAATGAATTTCTTTTTACTACAAGTATACCTTATATACATATGTATATATGGTATGTACATATGTATGTATGTATATGCATTTTTCGAAAAAAAAAATTGCAAAAAAATTGCAAAAAAATCAAAAACAAAATTCCAATCGTCATTTGCAAGCACAGCGAATTGCTAATCAAAGAAAGCCTCATCTGTCCAATAATAAGTACAAATGTATGTTCGTGTCACCTACACTCAGCGGTGTACATACTTACAATGAAAACATGCCATTGACGTTTTAATGACAGCAGAAGCGTCGACCAAAAACCGTCAAGTGCCAACTGTCTGGCCTTCTCAACGCCATCGAACGATTATTTTCTTTTAATAACGCTATCACACATCTCACACAATCCACCACTACGGTGTACAACTACTGCGGCTTTCATAACACATACACACACACTTGTCTATATGAAATCCATGCACAGCAGAATCAGAAATGAAGCAGGCAAAGCAATGAAAATGTGTAGCAAAGGTAGGAAGTGCGGCGCACTTAGCCAAGTTGTGGCATTAAAAATAATTAAAAAATAGTAGAATAAAAAAAAAAAAAAAAACACTAACAAAAGCTGCTGGCACTTTGTCGATAGTTCCGCTAAGTAAACGCATGGCGTCGCACTCACCTTCACCTGCGACCCACAAACGCTGTCAGTAGCCGCATTGTTGGTATTGTAGTCGGAGCGAGCAACGGGACGCGTAAACCGCACATGGGCCACATGAGCTGCCACAACCACCACAACCGCCATACACCGCACACCGCAAGCCAAACCAAACCAAATCAGTCAGCCAGTGAGCAGTCCATAACAACAACGACTAAGCAAAACTAATATCGCTTGCATAAAACACACAGAAAAAGAAGAAGAAAAAAACAATTCAAACAGAGCATTCTGCTGTTCCGCTTTGCAGTTCCTTCTTATCTCACATTTCTACTTCTTTCGCTACTTTCCCGCTTTGTATTCTGCTTCTGCTTCTTCTTTAGTGGCATAGCTGTCTCCGGTTACATTGCATGCTTTTTACGGGTTTCTTTG